TTTTGTTACAGTTATTAAGGAAAAAAACCCCTCAATGATGCTTAAAGTAATCATTGTTTTTATGCTGTGAAGACTATCAGTTTCAGGAAAAGTTTGCAAAAGTGAAGCTTTGATTTGGAAATAGATGTACACTTTTTTTACTCAGTAACTTTCTCAAAATTGTATGTAATCACCATTTAAAAAAATTTTTTTTTTAATCCTCACCCAGGGACATTTTTTCATTGTATTTTAGACAGAGAGGAAGGGAGAGAGAGAAACATCTATGCAAGAGAGAAGCATCAACCGGCTGCCTCCTGCACTTGTCCAGACTGGGGGGTCAAACCGTCAACCTAGGCTTGTGCCCTAACTGGGAATCAAATCCACAAGCTTTCAGTTATAGGACAGTGCTCCAACTAACTGAGCCACACTGGCCAGGGCTGTAATCATCATTTTAATAAATTAAATTATATTAAGTGCGCTAACATATAGCCTACTTTGTATTCTTAATTTTCACGTATGTATTTGTGTTTCTTAAAATAAGAAATAGATTTAATGATGTTATGTCAGGTTCTTGGCCTTTTATCAGTTTAATTCGCTTTATTAGGGTGAGTCTCTAAAAACAATTTTAGGCATCTTTAAAAGGCAACTTCAGAAATTTTTAAGCTTTGGCTCCACAAATATTTTGTTTTTCCCCTCTCGTGTCAGAACTTTAAAGTGGTAAGATTATTTTCCCTAATTATTGATAATTCGTGGGGTATAGGACTTTGTTTTGATCACTGCCATATGCCCATTGCCTTCCAAAAGTGCCTGATAAGTAGTAGCAACTAAGTAAATATTTGTAATAAGTATTTATTGTTGAATGAATCTCAGTATGCGGAAAGGCAGTAGAGATAAATTATGTTCTCACATCTGTCGATCACCTTGGAAGCTTCTTCATTTCTGATTTATTTCCATGAGAAGTCATGTGCCTTCTGTTTCTGAAGTGTAGGTGATTACCAGATTTTGGTGGTTCTTTAATATGTTTCTCCCAATTGTTCTATTCCCTGGATTTTGTCTCTTTAACATGGTGCTTCTCAAGAAAAGATATTTCTCTTCTGTCTAGTTCTTTAGACCAAGTCTGTAGATTGGTATATCCTGAACTTATTTAAAATCAAAACTAATTCATGAGGGATTGTTCTCAGAAACGGGGTGGCTGTAGACAATCAAAGGATTTTTATATTTGGCCTTATTCTCCAGTTTTGATGTCATAATACCTTTACATTCAAGCAAGAGATACATATATGAACATTTTCGCATTTTTGTCACTGTAGAAGTAAAACTGCCTTTTAAAAGATAGAAAGTACAATTCTTGTTGGTCAGTGAAACAGCACTTAAAAGTTTCTCTTCAAAAATTTTTTATTGAGTTATAATTAACATGCATTATATTAGTTTCAGGTGTATGACATAGTTTGATATATGTATATGTACTTAAAGTTTTGATTTTAAAATATGAATATCAGGTTTTTCCCCTCATCACATGAATTCACTATTGGCACATTCTAGATTTGGTATTTCTTTTTTCTTTCCCTTCTTTAGTTGGCCCAATCATAGTCATAGTATCTACTGTATTTTGTTACGTATAATGTGTGCTTTTTTGCCCAAATTTTTGAGGGAAAAATAAGGATGCATATCATACATGGGTATAATAAAGGGTTCAATAATCCTCTGTATAATGTGCACAAAACCATGGGTGTGCATTATACACAGGATTGCATTATGCATGGGAAAGTATAGTAGTTCTTTGGCTCAGGAGGACAGTTTCTTTTTAGGAAAGTAGTTAGTGTTTTGGTTGAAGTTGCGTCTCGAGTGAAATAAAAGTTTCTTAATTTAAATGAATATTAAGAAATATTTGCCACCTTTAAAAGAAACCAAGAAATAAGGAACCTGGATAGAGTTCAATTCATTTTAAAAAGAAATTGAGTTTTCTAGAGAGTATTAGCAAACATTCCGTTGCTACCTACCTTTTGGAAATTCATCACTGTAAGTTGTTACTCAGATGTTTCACAGTGGTATTTTTTGTGATAGGATTATCATTGATCCCAAATGAATAAATTGAAGGGATTTTTTTATTTTTTTAATGCTCCAACTTCTTCCTGTATGTATGGTCTCATGTCTTTTCCCTCTGAGATTATTCCTTGATCTGGAACCTCTGTAATAATGGAAAGAAATTACTACTTGCCCTGGGCAGTAATGTCACTTGCAAATTGTTTTTAAAGCCAAGCTGTTTATTTTTTGTGAGTTACCTATGAATGGACTAATTTAATTGTGGCAGCCCTTTTGATGACACTTTCCGTGGAGTTCTGGTCTGGTTCAAAGCTTGGCTTTGTTGTATGCAAGCCTTGAAAGAAGGCTTCATTAAAAGACAACAGAGTTCTAAGAAAAGCTAATTCAAGTGTTTGATTCATCCGTAACAGAACTCTAATGCACGTAGTTTCCCAGGCACTGAAGATCTGTGGTTATTTTCCATACCTTCTACTTACTATATATATTTTATACTTTTAGGAAGGTCTTGATAAGTCCCCTCCAGCCCCTCAACTTGATCACTGTCTGGTTGATCTGTCTTTGATGTTATTTCGTTAAGGAAAAGTCCCACCTTGGGCCCTGAATACTGATTTAGCAGAATGAGTAGTAAATGGGAGATTGGAGGCTAGAGCTAATTCTCTCCCTTTGAACTAACACCTCCTCCCATCCTCTGCATTATTAAAGAGGGGGTGGTCTATATTCTCAAGTAGCAGTACAGAAATCTCACACACTGGTCCAACCAGTAGGAAAACAAATGCTGTAGCCAGAAGTGCCCTTCCTCTGTCCCCAGCTGAAATTGGGGGAGGGACAAAGTCCAATTGTTACTTTACCCCATCCTGTCTGCCTGCTAGAAGGCCTGTTTCCTACCCTAATGGTTTCTGCCTAACAAATGGTGTTTCTTTTTTACAGCATTATGATCCTGGACTTGTTGTGGTGATGGTAAACTTAGCAGTGGTAATTTTTTATTTTCAGACTGAATTACTTCTTTTGTCATCAGTGCACCAATATGTTAGGCTTACTTTCTCTGTTGTAGCCTTCATCCTTCTGCTTGGTCTTTTTTCATTTTCCTTTCCTTTCCTTATGCAACTTGTCTGATCCTCGTTCATTAAAGGGTGATGTTAAGGAGGGATATATCTGTTTATGTTAGAACTACAAAAAAAAATCAGTTAAAACATTAAATTCTAATACTGTCAAAAACTTGATTTCCCCACAATGTAATGGGCACTAGCACTTGCTACTGCAATTTGTAAATAAATTAAAACAAACTTTGACTGCCTTAGAAGGCAAAAGTACTAATGCAGAGTTTATAAACAGGGGTTTACAGAGGTAATGGATTTGTACCAAAACTTTCTCGATTCTTGCATAACAAATTCTGATAGACCAAAAAAAGATACCAAATGACAAAAATAAATAAATTCCTATGTCATTGTTTTTCAATTCTTTCATTGGACCATTTGTTTTTACCAGTAAATCCCTGATTGAGACGTTATGAAAGTGATATTGCACCTAGGAAGTCATTTTTATAACCTGTCTTAATTTGGTCCTTTTGCTAAAGATTGCAGTCACTGCTTATTTATTATACCATTGGGCAGAAGGTAGTAATGCATTTTCATTTTGTTTAACTGGCAGTCTTTGATAGTATGTAAAAGAAGGCTGTATTTTTTTTTTCTGACATGAGATGTTCTTTACTTACTTAAACTTTTTTTCACTATAATAATTATCCCTAATTATATCCGTACTTATTGTTTGTAAAATAATGGGATATTGGTGATAAGTAAACTTCTGAATAAGTTTTTCATATTTTTTTTAAAGATAAAAAATAATCCCACAAATACAGAGCAACTATATGCAAGTGGTTGCCAGTCACTTTGAAAACACTTCTTTTTCCTCCAGGACCAAACCTAGTCATGATCATGGCATTTGTTATTATTACTTTTAATTTGGTTTTGGTGCTACCTCAGATTTATCCTGACAAAGCTTAACTTTTAGCCCAAAGGTATAATATATATGTGTGTGTATAACAAAAAAAAAAACAAACAAAAACCAAAAAAAAACAATTGTTTACACCAGCCTGAGTGAAATGATGAGGGAAGTAAACATTGTGTTTTTTCACTAAAGGTGTACAACGGACAAGGTAAGTCCTCTTACCAGTGGGCTTACATCACAATAAACAGCGCAAGTTGTGATGTAAAACAGCTGTGGTAGTAAAGTGCTTGTCTGCCCCATTTTGCTTTGTTTGGCTGGTTATGAGTGGATTAAGTATACATTTTTTAAAATCTCCAGCATAGATCGATTAGTTTAAAGTCAATTTTCTTCGCAACTAGTCCTTTTCACAGCTTACCGATTACTACAGCCAGTGTTAAATCCACACTCTGGAAATGGGACCTCAGAGCACCAGTTCAAAAGAAACACTATTCTTTGTTTCTAAGGGCAACTAACTGTTGCTTTTTATTTAAGTTTTTCATAGGCTCGCTTAACTGTAAAGCATCTTTTGAAAACAAAATATATAAGACATAACTGAATTGCAGTCACAGAGTTTTCCTTTATCGTGTTTGAAACTATGCTTTTTTGATTTAAGTATGTCAGTTGAGATATTTGTTACCTGTTTTAAAAGTGTGTATGGGAGGCTGTCAGTGGACAGTAAGAATGAAGTGATTTCTTGATGAAAAGTTATTTTAAACCACCTGGTGCCATAGTTTAGAAATGCTTTGCATTACTTATTTAATTTTGCCATAGAATCTGGAATTATCCTCACTGGAAAGACAGTCAAGGTGGGCAGTTGGGCTTAAACTGGGAGTGGTAGGTTTGGTTGTAAGCTGTGAGAATGGCTTGTGTTTGGTTCACTGTAGCTTTCTGGTCTCTGCACTCCAAGGCAAGATCTCTAACCACCCAAACCTAATGTGTAAAGTGAGCTGTCGCTTAGCTTTGCATCTTACCCTGATTATGTGTTCCTGTTACAGGGAGAACTGATCCCATTCCGATTGTTGTCAAGTATGACGTCATGGGCATGGGTCGCATGGAAATGGAGGTAAATTGATCTCATTATCTCACTTGTTTTATGGGATATTTAAAATAGATATTAATTCCAAATTCAGATGCCAATGCAAAAATACATTTATTAGACAGAATGTAGTTTTAATATTTTCCTTTGGATATGTAAAAATATATTTTATTTAGTGCTCTGTTTGAGGCAGGTAGGTGGCAAATAATAACTGTTTTAACTGAGGCATAAAGAAATTGAGTGGTTTGCCCAAGGTTATGCCACAAGGCAAGACAAGGCTTAAACCCTGACCCAACAGGCAGTGTTGCTTAACTCTTAAAACATTTGCTGTGGTAGAAGCTTTATCGCTATAGAGATATGCACAGCTGTCATCTGTGTTATCTTCTTTTCATTGCCTAAAATATTTTCTCCATTTACTACTAATTCTTTGGCATTGAACATTGAATTTAAGTCTGTTATCATCAAAAAATGTGCCTGTTGGGAGCCACCAGCATGAAAGAATTAATGAATTTTTCTTCATGCTGTTTTCTCTGTGGGGTGACGATAAAGTAAGAGGTTGCTGAGCAAATACAGAGTGTTTGATTTTCATACAGTACTGTAGTTGTGCAGATGACTTTTTAAATAGCTAATTGGGGGTACTTTAGGAATTAAGACTAATTATATCTGTTTTTGTTAAGCTTGATTATGCCGAAGATGCTACCGAACGGCGCCGTGTCCTAGAAGTGGAAAAAGAAGACACGGAAGAATTGAGGCAGAAGTACAAGGTATGAAATGAAATTTTTCTTGTATTTGGGATGCTTACACTGAGATATTTTCAGTGAAAGAGACCTCTTTCAACAGCATTTGTTTGACATTTGGTTGTGATTAGTAGTAGATCTCAAGTTTCTCAACTTTCCTATTTATTGCCTCTGTAAAAATTATAGAGATAATAATACCCACTTTGTGTGTCTGTTGGGAAGATTGCATTAGTGTTTGAAAACACAATGCCAAGTACACAGTAGGTAGTAATAGTAGTAAAAATTATTAACTTGAGAGTCTTTTAAGAGCTTGATACCTATTGATAAGCCTTTTCTTTTTTAATGGATGAGGTGTTTTAAGAATAGCAAACATTGGGAACTTCATTCAGTGTTTTCCTTTTTAAGGGGCAGAGTTATAGAAAACTGCAGCTTAGAATATGTTATAATTTAGCTTTCAAAAAGACTGACCAGGGAATGTATTTTTCAAGATGTTGTGGTATGCCCAGCCTTAAATAGGTAAGAAACAGGCTTAGCTAAGATTATCATATAGAATCTTATTTTGTCATGATACTTAAGGTGGGAAGAGAGAAAGGGATTTATTTTTTTAATGTGTTCTACCATAAAAAATATATAAAGCAAAAACTGACAGAACTATAAGAACTACAAGGAGAAATGTTTATTGCCACCACAGTAGTGAGAGATTTTAATATACACATCTTAGTAACTGAGAGAAGTAGTAGATGAAAAATATCAGCAAGGGTATTTGGAAGACTTGAACAACAGAATGAACAAACCTCACATAAAGGAGACTGTGTACCTAACCACTTTGAGAATAAAAACCTTCAAATATGTATGGAGCATTTAATTTATTTAAACAAGCTTTTTTCCTTTCTTTTTTTTTTTTTTACCATAGTCTGTGCCAGAGTATCAACAAATTTCAAAGAACTGAAGTCAAGTTATCAACCATAAAGCAGTCAAAAGAAAATATAATAGGAAAATACCTGTTTGGAAATTAAGAAACAACCTTTTATATAACCTATCTGTAAAAGAACAAATCACAGTGGTAATTGGAAAATATTTTAACTGAAAAGTAATAACACCACCTATCAAAACTTATGATAAGCTAAAGAGCTGTATGATGTTTGATAGCAAATACATATCCTTATTGCTTATGTTAGGAAAAGAGAATAGCAGGAGACAAATGAAGTAAACATTCCTCTCAGGAAATAAGAAAGAATAACAAAATAAATCTCAAGAATGTAAAAGGAAAGAGATAATAAAGATAAGAATAGAAATTAATGAAACAGAAAACAAACATAGAGCAAAGTCAAAACTTAATTTTTTAATATACTTGTGATACTAAGAAAAGAACATAGTGGGTGTTGCTGTGGGAGATGCCTGGGGTTAGGGGGAAAAAAAGGAAGGGAGGGAGAAAGGAAAGAAGAGAGGGAGGAAGGAAGGGAAGAAAAGGAAAACCAATATTGAGAGTAAAGAAAGAGGCTATTATTTCATATTAAGCAGGCACTAAAAGATAATTTCATGCCACTGAATGTAAAATTGGTTTTAAGTGGAACAATTTCTTTAAAAATATAAATTGTTAAAATAGAAACAATTTCAATAATTTTATAACATATAAATTGAATCTGTAGTTAAAATTTTTTTTCATAAAGTTCAATGACTTCATTAGTAAGGTCTGTTAAAATTCATAAAAGAAATAACTTCAGTCCTAACTAGCAATTTCTAATCTCTCAGAGTATTGAACAGGAAGAAAAACTCCCAGCTTACTTAATAAGAGACTAATACCACCTTGATGCTAAATCCTGATCAGGGTCGTATAAGAAGGATAATTATGTGACAACTCTGATTTCTAACACAAATGTACATTTTAAAACATTAACAAACACAGGACAATTTGGAATATATTATAACCAAGTAGTTATACTTCAGAACACATGTAGGAGACATCGTACTTAATATTAAAAAGTTGAAAGCTCTCCTTTTGTGATGAAGAGACATAACAAGGATGCCTGCTGTCATTGTTTCTATTAAATATTGTGCTGGGGGTCCTAAGCACAGAAAGGTGGGCAGGCAGAAACAAACAAATAGAGATATAAGAGGTGAAAGTAAGAAACAAACTGTTTGTATTTGTAGGTATGATTATGTATATAGATACCTAAAACATTATACAGATAAATTATACAAATAACAGTTTAGCAGGATGCTAGATGCAAAATAATAAATTTAAATTTGTGTGTCTGTAGATCAACAAGAGTTACAAAATGAAGATTACATGATGTGGAAGACTTAATCGAAAACATTATTGAGAGATATTAAAGAACAGTGAATAAAAAGTGAGATTTTTAATAATTTGTTAATGAATTAGAAGACTTAATATTGCAAAGAAATCTGTTTTCCCCCAAATTTTCTACATATTTAATGCAATTAAGTCAAGATCCCAACAGGATTTTTTATGGAAATTGACAAGCTTATTCCAAAATTTATATGGAAGAGTAAAAGGCCAAGCACAGTCAAAGCAGTCTCAAAGTATGAGATAGAAAGACTTGCTTTACCAAATATCAAAATTTATTATAAAGCTATGGTGGGTAAGGCAGTGTGATACTGACACAAGGGTAGATCACTGGAACAAAAAAGGGAGCCCAGATGCAGACCCCTTATATGTTTGACCACTTGATAAGACAAAGATGGTATTTCAGATAAGTGAGAAAAAGAATGAACTTTTCAATAAAAGATTTTGACAGTTGTTTGCCCATGTGGGAAATAATAGATTTGTACTCCCTACCTCGTATTGTACAATAATCAGTTGCAGATGGATTAAAGATTTAAATGTAAAAGGAAAAAAACAAAGCTTTTAGAAGATAGTATAGAAGATTCTCTCTGTATTTACTGTTGTCTTAGTTTTCATGTTAGTAATATTTTCCCCCAACATTTTATCATGAAAATTGTTGAGCATACAGAAAAAGTGAAAGAACTGTACAATGAATACCCATATACCAACCACCTCTATTCTACAATGAACACTTATAAATAATGTTTTATTACATATTAGTGACTTTTTTTAAAAACAGATTTATTGACAGTGAATGCCTTTTTAAAACTCTTAAAATAGCTCTTTGATTCTTTTTCCAATTTGCTTTGTTTGCTTTTTGTTTTTTAATAATGCTTTGCTTTTTACCTTTTCATTACTATTTTTGCCTTTTTTTAAACATTCTAAATTTTCTTATTTTATAATTCTTTTCAAATTTTCTATTATCTGTAATACTTGTTATACAAGACCTGGCACAAATAATGCCCCTTTTTTATTATAAAATCTTTTATTGCAGAATCATAAGCATGTAATTCTGTAACATGAGAATATCACACTCAAGCCCACTATATGACACTTTAGGTGAAATGTTCAAATTAAATCTCTAAATTATTATACTCATATTATTACCCTACGAACCACACTCAGGCAGGCATTACTTCTGCTGCACCTTGTATGTTTTTATCTTTTGTTTCTTCTCCTGACCTCTCAAAGTAATTTATTTCCTTGTGTGCTTTGCAGTTTTGATTGTTATGTCATTATCTGTGGAAATTTGTCATATCCAGTAAAGATAACCACCAAAATGTTCAAATATGGAGTATAAGAGAGGAATTGGTGTCAGCAAGACATAAAAGTTTGGGAAGTGTCTGCATACTGATGGCTTTTTTTATTATTATTTTTTTTAATCCATTTATTAAGCACTTACTGGGTCTTAAATACTTGCTAAGTACTTTACACACACATTATCACAATAGCTCTAGGAAATCATGACAGATGTATTTTTAAATTTTGGATCAATGATTTGCTGAGTAGAAACCTTTTTTCTACCTTACAAAAGCTTGACATTAAAGACTGACATTCCAATTAATGTAATTAACTCTAGATTTCTAGAACTGTTTTCTTATAGTGCATATATAATGCTAAATGACTGGTCCTTTGAAATAGAAAAAGCTGTTTTCTTTTTCATGTTAAAAAATAAAATTAATTTTGCTTCCCTTTCATTTTCACAGTAGAATACTCTTTAGTGCTACTATAGAATCTATTAAGAACTTCAGAATGGAAATGTACTTAAGCCCCATTTTAAATCAGGGCTTTTGTTCTCACTGAGCCACTTTGCAGGAGAAAAAGAGCATAGATACACAGAACAATATTCTCCTCAAACACATAACACTGACTGACTCCAACAAAAACTGATTACTGTCTGTCTGTCAAACACTGTGTTATACAGCATGTCATTACGTAGTACCAATGTTAGATTTACCAGGTGCATACTGATGATTTTAAGTCGCAGGAATGGATTAAATTGCCCATGGAGAAAGGAAAAATACATTAGAAGCAAATTTAATGTATTTAAAGAAATAAAAAAGGTTGAGATTATGAATAAAGGGCAAGAGACCATATAAAAACTCTGAGAGGCTCTAATAGCAGGTTTTGCCAGGCAGAATATTAAATTATAACACATCTGAAGAAGTATCCACAATGCAGCAAAAAGTGGAGGAGGGGCAAGAAAGAAACAAGATATGTGAGAGTGGTTAAGAGTTAGATAATAAAGACCTGGCTGGTGTGGCTCAGTGGATTGAGTGCCTGCCTGCAAATCAAAGGGTCACTGTTTTGATTCCCAGTCTAGGGCACATACCTGGGTTGTGGGCCAGGTCCCCAGTAGGAGGCACACAAGAGGCAGTCACACATTGATGTTTCTCTCCCTACCTTCCTTCCTCTCTCTAAAAATTAAATAAAAACCTTTTTTAAAAAAGAATTAGAAAATAAAGAATGGGCAGAGGCTGTGTTCAAAGGGAAGAGGCCAGAATTGATGAAAGGTGCAACTCACAGATTCAGGAAGCCTAATTACACACAAGATTAAAAAAAAAAAATTCTACACATAGATACATTCTAGTAAAATTGTAAAATATTAAAGTAAAAAGACTTCTGGACGCTAATGGAATCTTGAATGTGCTCAGAGAAAACTACCATCAACCTAGAATTGTACACCCAGCAAAAATATCTTAAGTATAAAGATAAAAATGGGTAAATTTTTACATAAAAACATTAGTTTGGCCCTGGCTGGTGTGGCTCAATGGACTGAGTGTTGGCCTGTGAACCAAAGGGTCGCCAGTTTGATTCCAGTCAGGGCACATGCCTGGCTTTCAGGCCAGGTCCCCAGTGAGGGGCACACAAGAGGCAACCACAGCTTGATGTTTGTCTCCTGCCTTTCTCCCACCCTTCCCCTCTCTCTAAAAATAAGTAAAATCTTTTTAAAAAATTAGTTTACCTCTAAAAGACCCTTAAAAGAAATTTCTGTGAGACTTGGGGCCAAGATGGCGGTATAAGTAAACACAGCTCTCCTCCTCATACAACCACATCAAAATTAAAACTAAACTATAGGACAGTCATTCAGAACCATGAGAAATTGAGCTGAATGGAAGTCCTACAACTACAGAATTAAAGAAGAAACCACATTGAGACTGGTAGAATGGGTAGAGACATGGAATGGGCAGGTCCCACACCCATGTATGGCAGATAAAAATCAGGATATCTCAGGAGTGAGGGGTCCCAGCCCAGAGTTCCAGTGCCAGGAAGATAAATCTCCATAACTTCTGGCTATCGTAACCAGCAGGGATTGAGGCTGTGGAAAACAGAAACTGATGGAATTCCAGGCAGTTCTTATAAAAGGGCCTGTGCACAGACCTACTAGGACTCCCTTCTGAGCTCCAGTGCTGAGCTCCGGGGCAGCAGATTGAAAGGCATCAGAGACCAGATGGGGAGGAACTAAATTGTCCTGTGTCAGGGTGAGAGCTGAGGGGGAGCTTTCTCCAGACAGAAGTGCTAGCAGAGGCCATTGTTCCTTGCTGAACCCTCCCCACACAGAGCCTCAAAGTCTGCAGGTGGGCAACATACTCTCATCAACCTGGCTCACACTGTTTGCCCCACCCTGGTGATTCACTTAGGCTTTGCCCCACCCAACTTTCAGGCCTGCCCAGCTGTTTCCAGTGGTTTTTCCATACAACTGTCTTGTCTTGACCCATACTCCAGGCTTTCTTAATTCTCTCAAACAAGCAGCACCTGGCTTCAGCAAGCCCTGCACCTCTCGCTAAGTTGCCCCAGGCCTAGAACTAGCAGAAGCTGGCCATAGTACACAGTTTGGCCTTTCCTGCGTACCTCCAGGCCCAGCACGAGTAGCAGCCACCTGCAATCACTTTGTAGCTTATGCTGTATGACCCTGAACAAAACACTGGTGGTGGCTGAACTTGGACTTGCCAACAGCAATTAAAGCTCAACTACAAAAGGAGGGTGTACTCAGCCCACAGCACCTTGAGGACCCAGCTTGGATAATAGGGGAGGTGGTGCCACTGGACTGTACAGGACAGCTACTACATTAGGCCACTCTTATCAACCCTGGGAGACAGCGGCTCTAACTAATACGTAGGAACAAACGCAGAAAGGCTGCCAAAATGAGGAGACAAAGAAATGTGGCCCAAATGAAAGAACTGAACAGAACTCCAGAAAAAGAACTAAACAAAACGGAGACAAGCAAAGTACCAGATGCAGAGTTCAAAACACTGGTTATAATGATGCCCAAGGAACTTAGGACCTCAACAGCATAAAAAAGATTCAGTCAGAAACAAAGGATGCACTAATTGAAATAAAGAACAACTTACATGGAAGCAACAGTAGAGTGGATAAAGCTGAGAATCAAATCAATGACTTGGAACATATTCAAAAAACAACCAATCAGAATAGCAAGAAGAATAAAGAATTCAGGAAAATGAGATAGTGTAAGGTGCCTCTGGGACAACTTCAAGCATACCAACATTCACATCATGGGGGCGGGGTGGAAAGAGAAGCAAAAGAGAGAAATTGGAAAGCTATTTGAAAAAAATAATGAAATAAAACTTGCCTAATTTGGTGAAGGAAATAGACGTGCAAGTCCAGGAAGCACAGAGAGTCCCAATCACTTTGGACCCAAAGAGGCCCACAGCCAAGACACATCATAATTAAAATACCAAAGGTTAAAGATAATCTTAAAAGCAGCAGGAGGAAAGTAGAGAGTTACCTACAAAGGAGTTCCCATACGACTGACTGTCAGCTGATTTCTCAAAAGAAACTGCAAGCTGGAAGGGATTGGCAGAAAATATTCAAAGTGATGAAAAACAAAGACCTACAACCTTGATTACTCTGTTCAGCAAAGCTATCATTTAGAATCGAAGTGTAGATAAAGTGCTTCCCAGACAAGTAAAAGCCAAAGGAATTCATCACCGCCAAACCAGTATTACATGAAATGTTAAAGAGTCTTTAGAAGATCAAAACTGAGAAAAAAATGGCAATAAGTACACACCTATCAACAGTTGAATCTAAAAACCAAATAAACAAGCAGAACAGAAACAAGCATAGATACAAAGAATATTGATGGTTGCTAGATTGGAGAGCAGTCACGGGGATGGGTAAGAAAGGGGAAGGGATTAAGTATAAACTGGTAGTTACAGAATAGTCATGGGGATGTAAAGTATAGCATAGGGAATAGAACAGCCAAAGAACATCTATGCATGACCTATGGTCATGGACAATGGTGTGGGGATGGCCTGAGGGAGTGGGGGGAACTGGGAGGAAGGGACAAGGGGGGGGGGGAATTGGGACGACTGTAATAGCATAAACAAAATATAATTTTTTTAAATTTTAAAGAAATTTCTGGAAAAGTACTTTAGGAACAAATGTGATTTTCATTAAAAGGCCTAAGATGTAATGAGGAATCTTTTTTTTTTTTTTTAACCTTCACCTGGAGGTATGTTTATTGATATTAGAGAAAGGAGGAAGAGGGAGAGAGAGAAAGAGACATCAGTGTGACAAACATCGATCAGTTGCCTCCTGTTCATGCCTTGACCAGGGATCAAACCCACAACCTTTTGATGTACAGGACGATGCTCCAGCTGACAGAGCCACCCATCCAGGGCTAAGGAACCTCTTATCATCAAAATTTAATTAGGTTGCATGTGTTTTTTATTTTTAAATCCAGTGTTCTTATCTTTTTGGAAGAGCAAGTCTTCTAAATCTATAAAACACTATAAAAAAGAATATCTTACAGAATTAAGTAAAGCCAAGATAGAATTAAGATACGCTTCTGCAAGGCATCATTACTAGAAGATGGATTCTGCTTGGTACCTGCTACTTCATACTGCTCACTTTGGAATCAAAGTCTCACGTAGATGCCTCTATCAGGAAGAGGGTAGATCACATGCCTGCATCCTAGTTTTAATGGAGGTTGGGAAAGTGAGCTTTCTGATTTCTATCTTGGGGGGATACCAGTGCTAATAAGGGAGAATATCAACAAGTTGCTTAACAGCCAAACATGAAACGTCCCAGGATATTTAAAGGAAATTATTATAAGGATTGAATAGGGTAAAAATCATAATGTGCTGTTAACTCACTTTTTAGTTTTAATAAATTTATCCAAAATAGTTCTTTACTGGAATTCCACAAAATATAGCAACCTTTTCTTGCTCATAGAGTAGCTCATGTGAGAAATGGTAGAGGGATGGTAAAACTGCTTTGAAAGTGTATCCAAAACTTACAATATTGAATAGAAGAAAGGCCATTTTTAGAAGCCTTTGAAATGGGACTTCTTTTTAGATTTGTTTACTTAAAGGGAGCTACTCATTGTGAGAATTGTTTATCTACACTGCTGTAAAAGGCTACCAAATATGCAAATCATTTATCATTTCTTTCTCCTTATTCTTCTGTTCTCCTTAAAGCAAATGAATATACTCAACTTGTTTTAAGATGTCTTTTGATGCCTAGTTTTTAAGTGGAACTGCTGAGGCACATTGGACCATCTCTTGGGTCAGCCCCATAGTTTTGCACCAGAACCTCATTAAAACCAATGAATAACCAACATATCTGTGTTGGCATTTTTTGTTAAGATTTTATTTATTATTTTTAGAGAGATGAGAAAGTAGGGAGGAGAGGGAGAGAAACATCAATGTGTGGGCACCTCTTGTGCACCCCCTACTGGGAACCTGGCCTACACCTCAGGCATGTGCCATGACTGGGAATCAAACTGGTGACCCTTTGGTTTGCAGGCCAACACTCAGTCCACTGAGCCATACCTGGCAGGGCAACATTTTGAAATTAGCAGCGCAGGTAATTTGGAGAATAATCTCATATTTAACTCCATAACTGGCCACAGTAATGTCTAAAAAGTCAAATACTGTCTTTATCTTTTAACTTTCAACTTCCTCAGTCCTCATGCGATAGGGGAATCTTTTGTAATCAGCATGTAGTTGGACTTTTTGTCTTTTTCTTACATTTTTTTTGTCTTTTTAAGATTTTATTTTTAGAGAGGGGAAGGGATAGAGAAAGAACGGGAGAAAAACTAATGAATCTGTTGGTGAAAAAAATCTAACTTTTCTAATAGGGAAATGCTTTCATTTAATCATTTCTGAAAAATATTTTTATTTGGTATACAAATGAAAATGTATCTTAGCACACTGAAGCACACTGTCTTCCACCTTCTGTTGCTTTTCAATCTGCTGTCAATCTGATTGTGGGTGATTTTTTTTTTTCTGGGTAGTTTTATGATTTCACTGTCTTTGGTCCCTTGTAGTTTCACTAAAGTGTGTTTAGGTGCACATTTTTATTTAGCCCCTCTTCAGGTGAGTCTCCTTTTTTACAACATTCACTTAAAATTCTACCAAGTTCATTTTTTTGTTTTTTTGTGTGTTTGGTTCTTTACAGGATTATGTTGATAAAGAGAAGGCAATTGCCAAAGCATTGGAAGACCTCAGAGCCAACTTCTACTGTGAACTCTGTGATAAGCAGTATCAGAAACATCAGGAATTTGACAACCATATCAACTCCTATGATCATGCACACAAGCAGGTGAGGAACAGTTATTTGCTAACAAACAAGAAGGTATTTTATTTGTTGTTAAAACTATAGAATTTTGAGTGGATCCGAAAAACTTGATGACTATAGTTTCTTGATCTGCAGGTCTTTATATGAAGTCATCTGACTGACTTGACTTTTTTTCAGTGACAGAAGTCCTGACATAGACCACCCCTGCCACCTGCACTTCAACATTTTATGTAGAGTGAAGAATTGTGAGCTTCATAAATCTTGCATAAAATTTTTGGTTTGAGTGGTTTCTCAATTTGTATTTGATTTGGTAATGCAACTGAGGATCACCAGGAGCTTTGTTTTTCTTTCTTCCCCTTTCTGAACCTGTTACACTTTTGACAATTACCCCAGATTGATCCTTTCATCTTCTGTATAGAAGAATTCATGCTTTATGAGCTGTTCTTTCCTATTCCTAAGCCATCTTATTATACCCTTGGATGGTAGATAAATCTTGAGAAGAAAAATACAGTTATATGTTATCTTAACTTTAACAAAAAACTCTGATGCCAAATGTTGAAGAGCTTGCTGAAAAATGAATTACACATTCTTTGCAGTCTTTTTTTTTTTTTCCTTCATTAATTTGGAGGGGGGATGGGGGACTTGTACCTAACTAGTTACTGGCATAAAGAAGGTAGGAATAATTCCTCTGAGGGATTTTAGAAGGAGGAAATTAATCTTTAAATCTATTGTGCAATTCTGGCTTATTAAAGAATTTTGAGCCATTTGATCTTGGGTGACTTTAGCAGAGCCTGTTAGATCTTTGAGGGGTACATAGTTGTGTTTGTTAGACTTACAAGATTTATGGGCATTGCTGGAATGCTGTCTTAAGCTGGTCCTGTTAAACCAACTTTTTTTTTTTAACCTTTACTTTGTTTTATTTTTCAACCAACCAGAAATTTCAGAGCACAGGAAAAAAAGGCAGGCTTTGACTAAGCTTTACTTTTACTACAACAAGGATAATTTTCAAGCTGGTCGTAGTATAATACTTAACGCAATAATACTTTTGCATTCAACCACACCTAACCAGTTTTAGATTCTTTCACTGATAAAGTTTTATTTAAGACAGCTTTTCGCCTTTTTGTACATTATTTTAATATATTGTCAGTTCTACCTGATTTGAAAAAGGGAAATTGAGAGATCATACATATGGACAAGATATATTGGCAATTACCTTACTCCTTCAAAGAACCATCTGCCAAGAAAGAAGAATACAACAGTGAATAATACTTATGCAGTAACTTTTTCAGCTTTTCAGTGTATATATAATTCAAATTTTGGGGTGGGTTGTTTTTTGTTTGTTTGTTTGTTTGTTTGTTTTTTGGGGTTGTTTTTTTTTTTTTTTGGAATTAACAAAGACATTTTACATTTAAGTACATATTCACCTTTTTGGATCCTTGAAAATTTCTCCAGTTAAGCTCTGTGATTAGTGTAGGACTCCAGAAGAAATTTTAGGGACCAAAAGGACATTTAGAAAGGTTATATTTTTAGTTGATGAGAAGTCTCTTGAGTGAAGTTTTAAGTAGAAAAGTATAAACCAGGAAAAGTGTAATTCCAATTTGAATAATGTGTACAGTTGCTTTTTAAGGCAGAAAAAAATCTGTCAAAGCCAAACAGATTCACAATTAAATACAGAACTAATAAAATTCACGTTAACACCATTAATGTAATGGATGACAAGTTTTAGTGATCTTTCTTTCAACTTGAGAGCAATAGAAATTGTTATAGCTCTGGTTCATTTGAATTTAACGTTTATTTTCCTGTGCACTTAGGTTTGACTCAATTCTCTCACCACTTTTCCTGTTGAAGTGGTTCTCTACCTGGGGAGATTTTGTCCCCCAGAAGGTACTTGGCAATGTCTGGAGACATTTTCGATTATCACAACTACAGGAGAATAGAGCTACTGGCATCTAGTGGGTGAAGGCCAGGGGTGCTGTTAAACAATTTACAGTGCACGGAAAGCTCCTTAAGAACAAGTTACTTGGCCCAAAACGTCAGTCAGCAGTGCTGAGGTTGAGAAACCTTGCACTATTAAGACTGCTGAAAACTTTCAAATACATATGATACTGTGACATCATTTGGCCTTTGCTTGGTACAAATAAATCATGAGTTTTAACTCCCCAGTTATGTTGTAAACATTTATAAAGTGTTCATCTAGATGATCTTAAGTATTTGTTTATTATTATTTTTTAGATGATTATTTTTTAGAAAATGAAAACACAAAATTAGGATTTCCTATAGAGGATTCTTGGGACTACCTTATTCATTAATAAAGCATATATCTGTGATCCCTGGTGTGGGAAAAGAACCTTTAGCTGATGTAGTTAATGTGAATGCATGTTAGTTTATTTTTCCACCTTGATCAAAAGCCCTTCTTAGGTATTAGAACCAGTACAGTATGAGTTTGTTACTTTGTTTTTGGTGGCATATTCTTTATATGGTTTCATTGTAGGCTTTTCCATCTTCCTTTATACTCTCTCTTAATGCAAGTGGTAGAATCTTGAAACAGAATATTATAAATATGTAAACAGAAAAATAGCACAGCACCAAATTTTTGTATAGTTACACTCTTTCCTTCACTTAGAATTTCTAAAGAGCCTTTAATTGACATGGTACAATACAGCTAAATAACCCCTAAGAGGAGGTAGGTCCCACTTTTTATTCCTCTTTGATGGACGTGAACTTGCCATACAAATGGACCTACCATTTTCCAAATTTATGCTTTAAAATCATAAAGACACCCTGTCTTGTCTTCCAGGAAGGCACACAGGATTATTATGAATCTGAGATAATAGGTAAGTACATTCAACCCTATGTTAGTAATCCCTAGTTTGCATCTTCCATCAAATTTTCACCACTAAAATTTTCCAGAGAAATAACCTATTAAATTTGGTAAACTACTAGTATAGGCAGGATTCTGAACATGGTGCTTATCTTCATGAAACACAAATAATCTCTCAAAAGGGGACTACGGAGTCACCTTCATTTGTGGTGCGGTTTTTTTCCTCAAATTTTCTAAGATATTTTGAGAAGCAAGTCATTAATACACAAGTATCAAGACCCAGTTTGATCTTCAAAGATGAAAAAGATAATTAGACATTTTGGTTCTTTTCAGCAGTTTAACCCTTTTTTTAAGTAATCACTTCAGTATGTTTTGAGAACTTCAAAGGTATGCCTTACCATTCCTCAAGAGATAACCCAGAGATTCCTTTTTATATGTAAGTTGGTTCTGATATGCCTGAGGGCTCCATAAGTGTTAAGTGTCCATCTTCTACCTTTGTTGACTTAGTTATAACTTAAAGTTGACTTTGAAACTAGACATTTTTCCACCTTACCTCCCTGTTTCTTTATTTTGCATACCTTTTAAAATATGTCTGCTGTCCCAGCCAGGTGGCTCAGTTGGTTGGAGTGTCGTCCTGTGCACCAAAAGCTTGTGGATTCGATCCCGGGTCAGGGTGCATACAGGAGGCAACTGATCGATGTTTCTCTCTCACATTGGTGTTTCTCTCTCTCTCTCTGTCCCTCTCTCCCCCTCCCTTCCTCCTTCCTTCTCCCTCTCCCACTTCCTCTCTTTCTAAAACTGATAAATATATTCTTGGATGTGGATTTTTTTTTTTAAGTTCTACTTAAAAAACCTGTCTGCTAATGGATACGACAATGGAAACCTTTTTTGTTTTTGTTTTTGTTTTTTAGCTTCTTGGAGGTCCTAAATTTCAAACTCCAAAAAAGAATTTTTTCCCAGAGGTAAATTTGTAGCAGTCCAGTGTCAGTGCCTTAATTTTATTGTTGTTTTGCTTTTCTTTCTTAGTCCCTTGTTACCTACTCAGGATTTTTCCAGTCTTACTCTCTTTTATTTGTGCCACTAAGGGACTTCTCACCCACGAGCCTCTGGTACATAAGCCGGAGACCAAAAATTGTCCCACAGCTGTATTTTGTCTGGCCTTTGTGAGTTTTTTCCTCTTTAATTTCAGTTCCCAGTTTTTAAAAAATAAGATTTTATATAATTCAGGCTTTTGCTCATCTTAAAGAGTTAAAATATCTGAGAACATTAGTTACACATTTCAGCGTAACAGTTGGCTAAAGCTAAATAGTTGCCATCTCTTAAAAGGCATGCTTATGCACTAACTCCAATTAGCTGTTGTTTCCACTTATTGTTTCTCTTACATCAACCTATGTTGATTCATTATATTGCCTGCCAAAACAAACTCCTCTAGACATTTGAGTTTGTGACCCAGTTTTATACCTTTCCCTCCTCTCATCACAGACTCCCACAGGTTCTAATTGATACTGGGGAAGTAGCACATTGAAAAGTTGCCTTATTGGGTCCAACTTCCTTGCAATTTCAAAACCATCTGTGGTTGTTGGATTCAGTATCAAAATCTGGTACTGTAAAGCAGCTGTGAGAAATTCCTTTAACTTGTAAAATTGATACCTTGGTCAGAGGAAAGAACGCTTTCAGGCTGCCTCTTCTTTCTTCAAATAGCCTCAGTATGAAAACTCCTGACTTTTTTACACTTTTGGAAAAAACTGAAGATTCATTTAATACCAAGGTCTCTTTTAGCTGTAAAAGCAGTGGTTTCCAGAGCTTTAAATAGCTGAACTAAAACAGATTAAACCTGTAGCAACCATCAGTAACTTGTCTATTCTAAATTGTTCAGAGTAGAATCTATTCTTTTTAAAGATTGTATTTATTTTTAGAGAGGGGCAGGGAGGGGGAAAGAGGAGGAGAGAAACATCAGTGTGTGGTTGCATTTCACACGCCCCCTGCTGGGGACCTGCAGGTGTCCTATACTGGGAATCAAACCAGTGACCCTTTGGTTCGCAGGCCAGCGCTCAACCAGCTAGGGCTAGAATCTATTATTATATGATTTAGTTAACTTTGTCTAAACTGTTACAATTACTTTCTGATAGCATTGCTTACTTTTAGTTGACTGTTTCAGTACACAGTAATGTATATTCCCAAGAAACAGAAATTTTAGAGTTTT